CCGCCCTCCGAGGCTGCGTCCCACGAAGCGCGGCCCCCCGAGCTCCCCAGCCCGGCCCGGCGCCCGGGACTGGAGCGCGCGCCCATGGAGGCGCCCGGGCTGGCCAAGGCGGCCGCGGCGGATACCCCCGACGGGGCGCCCGCGCTCTGCCCCAGCCCCGAGGCGCCCTCTCCGGAGCCGCCCGCCTACCGCCTGCAAGACTTCGAGACGCTGGCCACCGTGGGTGAGTTCGTGCGGCGCGCGGGGACTCGGCCCGCAGGGGCGCGCGGCGCCGCCCGGGACGCTGTCGTCAGACAAAGGGCCCCGTGTGCCGTCGCCCGGCCGCCTCCCCTGCTCGGCCCCTCCGGCTCGAGGTTCCCGCGCGGGGCTGCCCCTGCGTCCTCAGTCTCCCCGGCGCCCCGAGAGTTGGAGGGCACCCCCAGCCCCGGCGAGACCCCGCGACCGGCCGGCTGCCTTCCGGGGACTCTGGTGGTTCCTCAGTGAAACCTCCCCCCTTGCCCCCAACACACACGCCACCCCGGCGTCTGGGCTGCCCGACGTCACAAAACTTCCCGGGGGTCAGCGCAGACTGGGGACTTCGTGCGCCCTCCGGCGCAGCAACCCCCAGGACACGCGCCTGGGCCACGAAGGCACCTACAGAGCTCGCCCCAGGCCAGCCCTCTGCCTCCCTCTGCCCTGCGGCGGGTGCCCGGGAGTGGAATTTACAGATTTGACCCGGGGGTGCGAGGGCCGCCGGGCCTTCGGGGGACAGGTGTCCCGCGGCGTTGTGGATGGATGGTAGCATTCCTGACTCGGCCTGTGCTTTCCGTCTTGTGCCTCTGAAATTTGTCATTCTTTTATGGGACCCTTTCCATTTCTTTTGTCCTCTGTCTTAGAAATTGAGCCAACTGCGCAGCTCGCAGGAGAGGTTTTGGGTTCTCTTGGGCGCCTGGATCCCAGCACGCGCTGGGGTATCACTGGGGTAGCCCTGAGTGGGTCAGAATATCCCAACCCCAGCGTGGGCGCTGGATTCAAACTGTTGGCACCAGTCAGCCTGTGGCTTCTTAGCGACTCTTCGTGGCCAAGGGGGTTGGTTGTCAGGAAAATAAACGGGGCAGGGGTTCTCAGGGAGGCCGTCTCCTGATTTCTTCCCTCTTTTTGGAGAGGAGGGAGTGGGGCCCGGGAACCCCAGGGCTCAAGGTCACAGTGTGTGGCTTAGCAAGACTAACAGCGCAGCCAGGGTGACATCACAACTCCTGAGGAGGAGAAGGCATCTCTTTTTCTTTTCTGTCTCTTTCTGTTCCTCTCTGTGTCTCCATTTCTGTCTGTGTTTCTCTCTCCCCTCTCCGATCCTCTCTCTTCCTTCCTCCCTGTCTCTGTCCCACTGGGAAGCTGCCGGCGGGCGTGTTTTGCAGGGAAGAAGGGTGGGCCAGGAACCCACACAGGGGCAGCTACCACAGTAGGTGGAAACACAAGTCGGCAACGGAAAGTTGACGGAGGGCCAGCGTCCCTTGGCACTTTGCACCGGCCATTGTGTTTCTGTGGGGCGCTCGCTCGCAAGGTCAGTCGGGAAAGCGCCCAGGCCGGAGGCCAGGACAGGGGACAGGGCTGGGGCAGGGCGGGGCAGGGCAGGAGGGCTGTGGAACTGAGGGGTGCTGGTATCACAGGGTGCCCAGCAGGTAATCTGGCCCTTAAAAATAGAATGTTGTCCTTGCCTCTTGAGAGCTAGCGGGCTGGGCTGGGTGGGGGAAGTGAGTGCTTTCTTCCTTTCCTCTCTTAAAGAAGAGGATGCTCATTGCTCAGGGATAACTTCCTGTGGGCTCCAAGGGTGTGACAGGAGAGCCAGGTGTCCCACAGTCCGGCCATTGGACCAACAGGGGACCAGGGGGGTGTGAGTGTGTATGTGTGTGTCTGTGTACACTCGCTCATGACAGCATCACAGCTTTGGTGACGTTTTCTGCAGCCTTGTGTCTGAGCCTCCTTCTTTACTCTGGGTTAAAGAGCAATGTGAGAGTGAGTAACCCGAAAGAATAAGGAACTTTTTAAATAAGTTCTAAGCCTTTTAGAATCTTTGTCTCTGAGCCACAATCTACAGCAACTTTCGCTCCTTGCAAGTGAGAGGCAGGTGGAACTCTCTGCGGCCGGCACACGGTCTGGGGGGATGTGAATTCTCTTCATCTAAGCTGTCACTGCTGGAAGACAAGTTCACTGTTAAGTGTGTCTTCCCACCTCCCCACATTTCTCATTCCCACCTGCTCCGAACAGGCACCCATCTGAGTTCCAGATTTTCTCCACGGATGTCTGTAGGCAGTTTCCCAGTTGAGCAATACTGTTTTCCATGACTTAAAACCAACCACACAAGCCAAACAAAAACACCTCACGACCCTCTTAAACTTTCTTTACTTATCACAAACCCCATCTTTCGGTACCTTCTAGAATGACTCTGAATGAAGAGACAGAGCTTCCTTCACTCTCCTCCCCGAAGGACGGCTTCGAGTCCCTGCCCCACACAGCTGTGTGTTTTCATTTTTCCTGCTCTGCCCTCTTGTGTGTGTGCTGTTTCCATTGCCAGCAAACTGGGGGACGTTCTTGTACATTTCATCCCTGATGTTGGCCTGTGATCTGGGTACGGACGAGGCACCCTGAGCTAACAGCATCGCTGGTTTGATATTGAGACACATTTTGGCGATGGTGACATTTCAGCACAGGTACGGCACCTGCACTCCTGCAGGTTCGCTTGTGCCTAATTCCGCAAAGCCCACGGTGGCCACGGAGACCCCTGGGTGGGCGGGGGAGATCCCGTGAGCAGAAGGCTGAGCTGGAAATAGCCAGTGGTCACAGGGCTGTGTAGACAGCATGGCTATAAAGACCATGTGGTCTTAGGTATTCTGTGCTTCCGGGTACACCGACTACTGGATGCTGTCAGCGTTTTAGACGTACCAGTTTTCATAAATTCAGGTACTTTGCAAGCAGGCGTAGGTTGTGATCATGAAAAATCTAATGCTGGTATTTTTTTTTTTAAGAACATGAAAGAATCCTGGAGCACATCTGGTCTAAACACTGATTTCATGGGTTTAGAAACTCCGGCTCACAATGATCACGCTGCTCCTTAGAGAAAAAAATGGTTGCAAACTGGTTCTTCAAACTTCTTGTCCATGTAGCCAAGCTTTGCTTATCCCCATGAGAAAGAACAAGGGTGCTTTTTTTAAAAAAAAAAAATTATTATAGAAATTTAAAAATATATACTATGTAGAGAGAAGAGGATAATGGCTTTTTCTAAAAAGATTTGTTCGGTAAAATTTGGATTCAGTCAAAAGGCTGCACTCAAGAATCCAGAAGGACACATGTGGCCCCAAGGCCGCAGATTCCCCACCCCTGGAATCAGTGTCCGGTTCTTGGGTCTGAATTTCGTTTTCCCTTTCTCAACCTCTCTGCTTCTGAGCTTATTCCTCTAAAAAATGCAAATAATAACAGAACCTGTCCTACACAGCTTATTATGAAGAAGACTCCAAGATGCTTAAATCCCTGATTTTTAAGGAAAGTTATTTTGAAATAATTACAGACTCCCAGGGGATTCCAAAAACAGTACCAGGACTGCCATCACCCTTCCGCCAGCTTCCCCAGGGTGACATCTTCTGTAGCGTCAAACCCAGGACGTCAGCGTTGGTTCATCCCTGCTAACGAAACCGCACACCTTGTTCAGCCTGTATCAGTTTGCACAGGTGCTCATTTGTGCTCGAGACCGTGTGTGCGTGCAGAGTTCTACGCAGCTGTATCCAGCGTTATCGATTTTGGTGGCTGCCACCCCCAAAATCACGGGGCAGAACGAGTTCTCTCACCACAGACCACTCCCTCATGCATGACACTTTCTTCTTCTTTTTTTACTTTTACACATGACAGCATCTGAAAGTTTTATTTTCTTAAGGGCTATCAGGGCTTCGTGAATAGTCAATGATAAATGGTTCTCAGATCTAAAGTGCTCGCAAGCATTTTCCTCTGTGCTGAGAGGTTTTTTCCCGTGTCCTCGATTCCCCTAATTTGGACATAGTTTCCCTTCTCTCCTGGGTTATCATTTATGCCCCGTCCTAGGTTATTGGGGCTGTGAGAACAAAACACCGTAGGCTGGGCGGCTTATAAACAACTGATATTTATTGCTCCCGGCTCTGGAGGCTGGAAGTGGAGATCCCGGCGTGGCAGAGGCTGTGTCTGGTGGGGACTCACTTCCTGGTTCATAGACGGCGCCTTCTGGCTGTGTCCTCACATGGTGGAAGGGGCGAGGGAGCTCTCTGGGTCCCTTTTATAAGGACACTGATCCCATCCATGAGACTCCACCCTCAGGACCTCATCCCCTCCCAAAGCCCCCACCTGCTCACACCATGTCCTTGGGGGAGAGGATTTCAACATAAGAGCCTTAGGGAGACGCAAACATTGAGACCATCACACTCCTACCCTGTGTCACCAGCCTACCAGCAGAATGAATGGAATCCGACCTGGTGAGATTTTACCCTGTAGGTAAATATATAATCTTGCGGGGAGTGTTAACATAGCAATTGGCCGTGTTGTTTATTGCCTCACAACACACAGAAAATCGAGCCCAGCCTTTTAATCTTATTTATCTTGTGTGGGTGCTCTATAGTAAATTGGCAGTCGTGCGTGTGGGTGACAGTTTCGATGTAAGGGCATCATAGGAACTTTGGGAGATGAGATAAAATATTACACATCAGAGAACATTTCTAAGTGTAGGGGTCCTGTTGCTTTCTCCTCTTCTTTTTTTCCCCCCACTGAGGTGAAATTCACTGTAGTATGAAATGAATCACTGTATAGCCAACCGTGGCACTCAGCACATTCGCAGTGCTGTGCAAACGTCAGCTCAATCTAGTCCCCAAACATTTTCATCACCCCCAAAGGAGATCCCATCCCCGTTAAGCAGTCGCCACCTCTCCCCTGCTCCCAGCCCTGGCAACCACTGGTCCGCTGTCCGGCTCTCTGGATTTGCCAGTTCCGTGTCCTCTTCATGTTCCCGCCTCTTCTTCATTCGTCACTTCCCGTCTCCAAGGGGGAGAGGACACCCAAGTCTAATAGTTCCTTGTTCAAGAGGAGAGGAGAAAAATGGGCCTGCCGGGGGGAAAAAGGCTTTAAAAAGGCAGGAAACAAAGGAATCATAATATGGGATGAGAAAGAGGGGAAAAGAACAAATCAGAGACAGGAATGTTCAGTCAGAGGGAGAGAAGTACACAGGGCTCT